AAGAAGCAATGGATCAAAACTGAACAAAGAAGAAGCAACCTAAAACTAAGGAGAAATTTCCTGACAGTGAGAACAATTAACCAGTGGAACTACTAGTCTTCAGAAGTTCTGGATGCTCTAACACTGAAGGTTTTCAAGAAGAGCCTGGACAGCCATTTCTCTGAAATGGTATAGGGCAGGCAACCTTGGCAACTTTAAGACTTGTAGATTTCAAGTCCCAAAATTCTGGGAGAAAATTCTGGGAGTTGAAGTCCAGAAGTCTTAAAGATGTTAAGGTTGGAGACCCTGGTATAGGGTCCCTCCAAAGATTATTCTGACACCTTTGCCTGGCCCTCCAAACTGACTTGGCATCCTCAATTTTCCATTCTGAGCAGAGGGTTGGACTAGAAGACCCTTCTCCCTTCCTCTCTCATTCACTCTTTTTCTCTCTTTCCCTCTTCCCCCCCTCTCTCTCAAAGCCACGGCTGGCCAAGCACTCTTCTTTATCTTCCCCCCTCTCTCCCCCACTCTCTCTCTGTGTGTGTGTGTGTCTCCCGCAAAGCCACAGCTGGGCTTTCCTTGGTGCTCTTTGCTATTTTCATTTCTTCTTTTTGGAATCAAGACTGGCTGAACAAGGATTGCCAGCTGCGCTAAAAGCATCCCGAAGGGATGACCATTCTCCTCCTCCTTCTCGGGTGTGCATGCCATCCTCCCGGCCCTGCCACGGCTGCCAGTTGCGAGAGGAGGGGGAGGGGGAGATGGGTCACCCAGAGATGCTTCCAGTGTGGCTGGTGATCCTTGTTCAGCCAGAGAGAGAGAGTGGGGGAGAGAGAGGGGAAGATAGGGAAGAGCGCTTGGCCAGCCATGGCTTTGAGAGAGAGAGAGGGAAAAAGAGGGAAAGAGAGAAAAAGAGAGCATGAGAGAGGAAGGGAGAAGAACAAGAAAGAAAAGAAAGAGAGAAAAGAAAGAAAGAAAAAAGAGCTCCGGGGCATTTGTGCAAAGTGCCGCGGCTGGCGATCCTTGTTCAGCCAGTCTTGATTCCAAAAAGAAGAAATGAAAATAGCAAAGAGCACCAAGGAAAGCCTAGCCACGGCTTTGAGGGAGATACAGAGAGGGGGGGGAGAGGGGAAGATAGGGACCCCGTGCTTCGCTATCCCCTGCCATCATCCTTACCTTCTCAGGCCAGGTAAGGGAGGGGAGGGTGAGGGGCAGGAGGACCAGCCGCTTCAGGCAAGGTGAAGAGGTGTCGACCAAGCATGGGAGAGTAGAAGCCTGGGAACGGTGGCTCCTGGCTCAGCCAGCCCAAGGGGACAAAGGCGGTGAGAAGCCCTGGGACATCCGCCCACCCACCTGCTGGCTGGCCGGCCTGGGTTGGGCTGGAAGAGGCGCGTCAGCTGGGAGAAGGCAGAAAATGTGCTCCGGGAGGGCAGGCAGATGTCCTGAGGCTGTTGCACATGCGTACTGCATGTGTAGCAGCTGCACACGCAGTGTGCATGTGCAGCAGCCCTGGGACATCCGCCTGAGCTGCACCATGGCCACCATGTGGTAGGGAAAGCTAGTAGAGCTACCGGGACAAGTGGGCAACCAGGTGGTCGGGTGACCCAGTTTGGGGGCATGGCCACCCAGGGGTCGCTACCAATTCTGAGACCCATGCCAAATCACTACCGGTTCTCCTGAATAAGTGCAAACTGGTTGAATACCACCTCTGGCTTTGCTGCTCTTATGGCCATAGTATGAACTAAAAAATGAGCTCTTCCCAGTTTCCAATCTCATATATTATTTATTTTTCACCAGCATTGTTTAGGTTTCTTTGCTATTTTATTTTCAAGAAACTCTCCAGGGTCAATAGGAAGTAGCTCCTCAGGTGTAAACTTATGCAAGAATATAATTTCCTCCTGGTGCCAATAAGTTATTAAAAACTCAACAGAACTATCTACTACTGCCTCAGAAAGCACCCTGTGGAAACTACATTGTTCCATGAGACATCTGGGATATCTCATGAGATATCTGATCAAATTGGTCTATTCTCTCTGTTGAAGTTGGTGGCATCAGTGAACCTCACTTAAAACTGAATATGATCTGACAACAACAAACTATCCTTTACTCCTTCTTTAATATATTATGTGAATTAGGGAGTTCTATCTTTGACATTTTCATAAATCTATTTATTCTACATGCTCTTTATCTTTTTGCTACCTTGATAATGAATCTTTCCTCTCTCTATCAAAGCTATTCTCTATACTCTCCATACCCCGCTTGTCTCTCAGAATCTAGTTCTTACATCCTCCCTCTTCTCTTTCTTCTCCATATCATACTAACTTTCAGAATATCTTGCTCAGTTGATCACATCTCAGTAAAAACAACTCTTCATCATCATCAGTTCTTTTTGACAAAGTTGAACAAAATCACAGAGTTGTCATGTGAATTATTCTTCAGATAGTTTGAGAAATCTTGCTTTAGATTTCTCAAACTCAAGATTACTGCTACTAGTAGTCATGGTTTGGTCTCATCTCACCCAACAGACCAAGATTCTCCTAGCTGGTCTATTACTGTCAATATCCATCCACTTTCCCTAAGCTTTTACTTACTTTCCTTCTTAATTCCAATGCCATTAACAAACAAACAAACAAAAAACCCAAGCAAAATAATAATATATAGTAACAAACTAAATTATAGTAACAATGATATTGGAATAGCAACAAGATAGCCCAGCTATAACGATGCAAAACTGGAGAAGGCAAGGTATCTTCTGGAAAAATAAAAGAAAAAGATGAAAAAATTGGAATAGCCTGTTCTACAAAAGTCATGGCTCTGCCTGATTGGTTAGAACTAGAATACTCCACAACGCAACATTTTTTTTTTTTTGTTTAATTTTGTTGCCTGTCTTAGGTAGCTTGGCAATCATACTCTTAAAAAGAAAAGCTACTTATAAATCTAACCAATCTAGTTGTTGGTAAAACAAACAAACAAAGTTTTGCTTTCAAGTTATTTTTGATTCCTGGTGAGTTCCCCCATGAAGTTTTCTTGGCAGGCACTTAGTGGTTTCTCAATGGCTTTTTCTTAGGGCTGAGAAAGAATAAGTGATCCAAGGTAAACCAGATGGCCTAAGGTGGGACAGGAATCTCCAGATAAAGTAAATGACACAACCATTAAAGTCTAATTGGTACATACCAGAAAAAAATCTTCACTTGTTTCACCTTTGTATGCACGTTGACTATGAAAAATACAAGAACAAAGCCTGTAAAATACTGGCAACCTATTTATTGGCCTGAAACATTCGAAGTCCAGGAAAGCACCATATTATGTATGCTTGCTTCATTGTAAAGGACAGCTATAAGGGTTGTAGCTAACTTACATATGTTTTAGGAAGCATGGTACAGAATGAAATGAAAGTTAGATCACACAAAAGCCACCTGCCTTAGATTTCACAAAAGAACACAATTTGAACCTTCAGATTTAAATTACCTTCAGAATTGGATAATTAAAATATCTTCCTACTCACCTTTGTTATACTGATAGATGCCAGTTCCCCCTCAAATACTAAAATTAATATTGTATAACATTAATTTACATATATGAGGATGGTGCAAAAATGATGTAATTGTTATATAGATAGTTCCAGTGACAAATTCATGACAACAACGTAGCCAAGAAATAAGTCAAACCATATTATATAAATGCAAATGCTCTATAGAAGGCAGTAAGATGCTATAAATTTTTGTAACTAGAAATAGTTTATTGTAACTGTTTATCTATTTGGATTATTTCAAACCAGGTATGATAGCAAGACAGACTGAGAAGGAAGGACTGACATTTTAGAGCAGGGCTGTCAAACTCCTGGCCTGTGTGCCGGATGCATCATGTGCTGGCCACACCCAGTTTAGCAAAGGGGAAAAAAGTCCCATTATCATGTTAAAGTGAGGATGCCTGGATAATTCAACATTGCCTCAACATGTGTTAAGAGTCAAATATGATTTTACCAATAGCTCACATGGCTCAGTCCCATTTCTACAAGGCATCAATTTAAGGGGATAGGTTAAGCTCACAGTAACGACACCTGGAAACCTAGAATGGCACAAAATTGAACTAATTTCAAACTAATTTCAAACTTCAAAGGGCACTGAGCCAAATTCAAGATATGTTTGATAAAGAAATACAAACACGTTGCAGTTGGAGTATCACTTGCTTCATGTTTGGGAATTTCATTACATTTTGTTACAAACTGTATAACATCACATTTCATTTTTTATGAATGTTTGGACATACAGTATGCAAGAAAGTTTCTAGGCTGGGAAGAACTCAAAATATAAATAAAGGAGAGTCTGGGAGACAACTAAGGATTTGACTGGTTGTAGGGAAATATTAGGAAAATATCTTACACAGTTGTTTTTACATGAGGTATAAATTTGATTTTAACAAGGAGCAAGTAGAAATATCATTCCTTATTTCTAAGGCATTCTAAGGTAATTGACTTGTTCAATATGAAAAAGTCAAAATTCTGCTTTTGTTTAGTTATGCTTACTATATAATAATCCAAATGCTTAATTTTAGCATAGTTGCTGTTTTAGGATACAAATTCATTATTGCTGATGTTATCTGTTTTTTTCAAGCTAGTAGAAGGAAAAGGTAACATGGTTTTATAGTATTAGCATAGGCAGACTGTTATCACAAGATGGCCTCCCAGAGAATGTACTTGCTACAGCCTGTGTATTCAAAAATCAGAAGGAATATAGTAATAACTTTTTATACACTAATAATCATTTAAAAACACCTTTTGGACTAATAAATATTAAAAAGCATATGTTTCCATGAGCTATAACTTACTTCATCAGAAACATGCATACCATACATCAACACAGCTCTCCTTTCTACAACATTTAAGTCAATGTTGCATCCATACTATGATGACTATAACCTCAAAACTTCAGGAAGATTTTTTTTTTCATCTACTAAAGGCAAGTATATGCTAAAAATCTATAAAGAAAACTACACATTTAAAAATGAAATCAAGGTTGGCTAACCTGAACAATTGATTCTTTTGTAGGTTGCTTTCCTCTTCTAGCTGTGCTGGTAGCCAGAGTGGTAGTGGTTTCCATGACTGAGGTGGACATCTCTGATTGCATTGCAGTGGCAGTTGACTCAGTTGTCATAGAGGAAGGCACTTCACCAACGAGTCTGACATTCCCTTCTATCACTATATTGGCGTCATTCTCGGCAGCCATGTTCAGGACTTTCAAACCATTGTAGTAGAGTCCAGAAAGCTGACCCTGAAATGGATGGCCTCGTTCCTTGCCTCCAATTTTTATCGTTGCTTGGCTATTGAAGATTGTGAGCTGACGCCCTGTGAAAATAATATTACATACATGCAAAAAATGTTGATTGTGAACACCACACTCTTAAAGAGGATGATTTTAACAGATTATGGGGTGGAAGATGAGAGTAATAAAGTATAAGAAAGGAAATTTGTTCATATTTCATATGCGTTTTAATGAGGTGCTATGGAATGCAGAACTGTTTTATATGTGCAACTGCTTAACTCTGGTTTGGGTGTGTGTGCGGGAATGATAAAAAGAATTTTGTTAATATTTCCACTTCATTGACTTTATTTCCCACTATTTCCTCTCACACCTTTTTCCAAATGGTTTTCGTAATCTTATATGTATGGTGGGGACAGATAGTCAGGGCTAAAATGTGCACTGTTCAAGGATTGCACAATATATGCATATGGTATTGCTTTCATACAATCATTTCTGTGTAAATCTATGTAATATGGAAACTACCACGATGCTGAATAAAGGTTAGCCTTAAAGAGTTAAATTGAAAGGTAAGGTATGTATCTACTTATGTTATGCTATTATAAGGCTACCTGTTTTAAAACAAGTTAGTAAGAATAACTCCTTATATTTCTAATAAAAAGACTTCATATATGAAAGTTGGGTTACTCCTTAAGAAAGGCATACACACACATGTAGACATTGAGAAGGCATGGGATACATATTCTATGCTGAGCATTTCAGAAACAAACAAAAATGATAAAGAAAAAGAGAGAAAGAGAAATGTCTGATTATCTTTCAGCAAGGCCATCAACTAAAGAAAAAAAGCAACAAAAATGTTTAATGTAAAAACAATTTCAAGGAATGATACACATATCAATGAAGAGTCATGTCACATTGCTATTTTTTTAAAAAAAAGAAATCCTCACCAGTGCAAATCCATTATCAATTGGAATATTCATAAACATAATATTTTTTTGCAGATTGGATTCTGCTCATAATAACAGCATGCACACAACTTTAAGCTCCTTTAATTAGTGTTTGTTCCAAAATCTCTTTAGAAGGTAGCAAATGTTAAAGGGACTTCATCTTGTTTGGCAATGATACAGCCCACTATTTAAGATATAACCTACAGTTTAAAAAATGATTTTTGTTTTGTTTCAGGAAAGAAGATCTCATAACTACATACATATATAGATATTTAGTTAATAATTTAGCTGAAGGAATACGTAACATAATCTATGAATAATTTATCAGTTTTGATTAATATTTGCTATGAATATCTTCATAGATTGAGTTAGTGGATTATATTTAACAGTCCCTTTAACCTTAAGTTATCAGGGCATGATTATTAAACAGGCGGCACCACTAAAATGTATAGAAATTATTATATACACTGTATGCAAATATTTACTCTACATTTAACTGTTTAAAATTTGTTTTTAATTTAGTTTTACTGAAATATTTATTGTTTTATGTTTATTGGTGTTACAATGAAGCACTACTTGGTTATGTTCAAATTATTTTTTATTTGAAGTTTTAATCAATGTTTTTACCTTTGTCGAGTAGCCATTCATCAACTACTCGACCAAGCCGATATGGAATTCGCTGTCTAGCAATCGCCAGGCGCTCGTTATCATTGTTTCCTTTAAAGTTTAAAGAGACATTTCATTGGTTAAAATCTGTAAGGTCAAAGGTTAAAAGTTAATACTTAAAGCTTGAGCTATACAGTTGCCACATGATTAATTTTTTTTTTGAAAAAATTTGGAATTTTTTAAAAAGCTCTATCTAGAACATTTCAAGGTTCAGACTTGTCATTCATTTATTTTATTTTAGCAAACAAAATTATTCCTAAGTTAATTGAAAATTAGAAATCTGCATTTGAGCTAGGTTATTAAAACTTATGTTATAGACAGACCCCCCAAAACAAATTTAAACATCAAATACTAACTTTTCAGAAAGAATGCTCATTGACCTTAGGGTTTTGACTTTTGTCTTTTGCCTTGTTTTTGTTTTGATATTTCTTATTAACTAGTTAAAACATGTTCAGGTGAAACAGGTTTAATTTTGCAAAATACCTCTTGCTCCAATCTCTTAATCCAGGTTAGTCATTTAAAGAAGAATAACAACAGAGTGCTTAACCATCTTCAAGGACAGCTTTAAGTCTGAGATCTAGATATCAATCTGATATAATTTATATCCAAGTCAGGAAAAGTACATTTTAAAAAACAATTCTCTATTTTGTAATTCAGTTAATCCCAACAGTTTCAATATACTGAACAGATGGCAAAAGAAAAGAAAATTGGGTCATCCATTATTTCGCATAATCAAAGATGTGACAGAATAGTTCTAACATAAAGATCAAGGCTTTGACAAAAATAACACCCAAAATTGTCTAAATGTATAAGAAAATCCCAAGGCAGAAAACAAGTTAAAATCTCATTAAAATAAACAGGATAATAAATAATGTATAAAGCTTGAAATTCTTGGACTGCAGCCTTTAAAATATTGTAATCATGGATTACAATACCCCCACAAACAAACTTGTGTTTGTATGTCTGTGTTTGCTTGCTACAAAACTGCCAAAGATTATTTAATATAATCTTTACTTATAAGGTTGTTTCTAAGACTTACTTTAGTTGGTGTAATTTAATGGCCAGCTAGGTAGGAACAGGATTCATCAGGTGATTTTTGACCAAAGGCTAGATCCTGAGAAATGGTGATATGATCATTTGCTATTCTAATTTAGGCAACATAATATCTTGAGTATTCTAGTCAAGAGGTGAGAGTAGCAAAACCTCAACAAAACTTTGTAACCTCCTAGATCTGGTTAAATTAAAAGACTACCCCTAAACAATTAAGAAATTCTAGAACCTGAACACATATTCTAATCCAGAATGCTCTGACCTGAAGATTAAATGTAAGAGATTTTCTTAACCCTGAGAGCACTACTCATCTAATGTAAATGAATTGAAGTATTGACACCAATTTCAGATTCAACTGAAAGACCCTATCACAACGGCCCCCAATTTTTTGGGCACCTGGGACCGGCTCCATGGAGAAAAGTTTTTCCATGGACTGGAGGGGGTATGGTTTTGCATGCTGCCTGCATTCCATGAATGGGGCTTCACTTGATAGCATGGCTCGGCTTCTGGCCTGCTGCAGACCACTATTGGTCCATTGACTGGGGTTGGGGACCCTTGCCCTACCAGGCAATTTCACATGTATGAACCAGTATTTTAGATTCATAGAGAAAATAAACCAAAGTGAATAATATAATTTTCTTAGAGGAAGACGTAACACAAACAACAATATCTTGTACTGCAGATGTGAATTTCAGTTCCCAAGATTCCTTTTCTATATAAATACATTCATGAGATTCGTTCCAAAGAGAATGCTACACAGGAACTCATAGAACAGGTTGAAACCTGTAATATCTTAAACTGATTACTTAAGGATGCCTTGTATATCTCTGTTAAGGTGTTATCAAACTTTGTCTCAATGGTAATATCTCATTCATCCAAAAAGCTTGCTTTGGTTCTGTAACAACAATGGGAATATATTGATGTTTGACAATATTTCTTGATTTTTTTTCTTCCACATTGACAACTAAACCTTGGGCAACATATGAAATTTTAATTATTTATTTTCCAGCACATAACTTTTGCTACTGCTTCACTTATCAACATGTCATCGCCGTCATAATCATCATAATCATCATCATCATCATCATGTTTCTGATATAACATTATCTCTCCAAATACAAAATATCTTTCTCTTAATGTTACAAAGTGATCACATGGCTATTATGTTGCCATCAGTCTTTTTCATTTCCTTTTTTTCACACTTGTTCTCAGGATTTTATGATAAAGTCAAATAAAATGTGGCTTACAAATAACAATACAAATAATATAATTTTTAAATAAATCTCATTTTTTTTCTGTCTTGATCTACTTATTAACAGAATAAAGCATATAATATTCTTTTCCAGATTTTGAAACTTCATATTTTGGAGTTCAATGTTTTAACTAAATCAGAATCATTTATGTTTTGCTTTTTAACTCTTCTTTTAAAATATCTTTTAACTAAAAACTATATGGAGTTTACTAACTTCAGCAGTTTCCTACAATATTCTAAAATCTACAAATTACATTTCATTCCATCTGTTACAATTCTGCACCACTGGGAGCTCAAAAGCAAATGAAAAATGGAAAGATTACCAGTTGATTTTTAAAGGTCATGCATACAAAATAATTTTGATTACTTTCATTCACCTCTTGAAAGAGTAAGTGCAAAATAAAAGTATGTCCAAATTTTAATGTCAGAAGTTCAGGTTGTTTAACAGACTCTACTAACAACAAGCTCTGAGAAAATAGGGTAAAACCAATTAAATGCATGTGTGCACCCGCACACACCCACACCACACAAATACATTTATAAAGAGAGAGAGAATATTCAGAGCATAGCCAAGTCCAGTCATTTGTAATATCATAAGTATAGAAGACCTAGAAAATCAAGGGAGTTTATCTTTCATCTCTTCACAGAATAGAAGTCCATATGTTTCCTTTGTTTCATTCTTACTTTTCTGTGGCATTAGCCGTTGCTATCATATGTGTTGCACACAACTCAAAATAATTTCCGCCATTCTTCCAGTAACTTCAAGTAACCCAAAATGTTGTTGCTGTTATTATGCAATGATAATTTTTTACCTAATGTTATACAAAATAATAACCAATAACTCTTATGTTTTGTCTTATACTATGTAAGTGTATGAAAGCCTAGTCTTTCAGCCAGACTGATAAGCTTCTAACTGATGACAAAGTACAGCAACCAAAGTTGAAGAAGTATCAGAATCAGGGAATGTTTGCCAGGCTAAAAACATAGATATTGCTGCCAATAGCTTCCTTCAACCAAATGCATTTTCTCTGAAAACAAAGAAAAGACCCAAATAGTCACCTCAGCAAGATGGGCAACAATATCAATCAATCAATCAATCAAATGACATTTGACATTATGTTTTTACTTAGGCCTAAGAAAATTCCAATTTGTGTTCTCATCTCAGTTTGAATTCCATGCAATTTCTCTTCTCAAGAAATAATCCTGGTGGCATACAGAATATGGAAAGACACTTGGTTTAAACCCTTGAGTGCCTTCTGACTGCAACTATGAAATCAACTCCAAAATATCAAAATATCTGCTTATTGCTTGAAAAATAAATACATAATAAGTTGTAGGATCACATCTGGAAGGGGTAAGCTTGGGGAAGGATACCTTAAAACAGTGTATCTCAAACTCAGTAACTTTGAGATATGTAGCTTCCCAGAACTACCCCAGCCCACTTTTATAGTTGCACTGGTAGGTTCTTCATGTCTAAGTCTTTAAAATAAAACTCCCCCCGCCCCCTTCTGCATAACTGTAAATATTATTTCATTTCCCTTGACAGCTTTTGGTTCTTTGCTTTGGCTAGAAAAGGAGAATAGTGCTCTTAAGAGAATGAAAGTAGTTGCGACATTAACAGTATTTTCCATATATATTTGTTTCTTTTGTTCCACTAAACCCATAATGACCATGTCCTAAATCCCTTTTGCTATCTTAGATAAAGAAATAGATGATGTCATCTCTCTTCACATTTCCAATATTATTTAATGGTCTTTTAACAAGATTTCTTAAAACGTTCTTCATAATGTGGATGAAAAGTAATATATAAACAATAACAAAATGAAAAAATGGAACAGGAAGTTAAAAGCAATTCAACTTACAGCAACCAATTGAAACTTGTTTTAAGAGGATGACAAGAAAGCACTCATCCCTGAACATAGGAAACAAATGATGGGGCAGGAGTTTTAAAGAACTGGCTCCCAACTGGTTTCAAATACTTCCCACTCATTACTTGGTCTAGTGCCTCTTATTGCTCAAAGGAATCAATACTGCCAGTGTTTACTTTTGTTTATTTTTATTTTTCTTTAAATTTGTATTGTTTTTGACATATGCCACTCGAGCTGAAAGTAATTCAAACTAATACTCCAGTAACAGCCCCTTTCAAGCTACTCTCCATATTATAAATAAAAATGTCAACTTAGTGAGAAAGTCAAAACCAAAAAAAAAAAGTACCGGTAAATCTTGTTTAGCAACTGCCTCAGATAGTGACCATTCACAAATATGACAATAATATTAAATTCATTTCCTGACCAATACCTGCATTATTACAACAAAAGTAAAATGATAAACAAATAACCGTGCCTCCCCATTGCCTTCTTCAAATCCCCCACAGAAATAGAAACCATGGTTGTTGAAGCATTTATCCTAGTGAAATCATGTAATTATGATTATCTATTATCAGAACAGGGATTTGTTAACACAACAAATATTGCAAGAACACATCAACATTGTTTTGGTAAGACTCTCAGATTTTGCATGGCTGAATAACCAGGTTGAGACCAGGTTTGAACAAAAATGGGTTACACTTTTATGGAAGCATAGTTCAAAACTGGAAACAGAATTCCTGCACAATGAAAGCTGAGGATATTATTTTAGGATTTATATTACAATTTTCATTTGTTTCACACCTCAAACGCACAAGCTGTGTATTGTCAGAAGCCATACTCAGAGAAAACTCTATAGATCAAATGGCTGTAGGTATACTAAT